ATTATTTTAAAATTTTTATCTTTCTAAGGTTGTTGGAATGAGGTATCACCCTGAAGCTTAACCTGTGACAAGAAATGTTTAGAGAAATGCACCAAAAGTTTTTTATCTATCTTTTTTTATTAGAGTAACACTCAATGATGTTAACTTGTGTGGAAGAAATTGAGAGAAAACAACCAATGATTTTTAACTTTTTGAGGTTGTTCAAAGTGTAACTTAGTAAAATTAAGCTATGTGAAAGAGATCGGGAGAAATCCACAAAACAAATTTGACTTATCTGATGTTGTTTATTAAAATGTTATTCAATGATATTAACCTATGTAAAAAATATTGAATTAAATCCCTTGAGATCGATTATACCATAATTAGAAGGGGTGAATGCATGTTTAACCCAAATCAAATGTGAAATAGATCTATCTTTATATTGTTACTGTCCTTTTGATGCCATGATTATGATCTTGCCCAAGAAGTTGAAGTCATGCTATGGACTATGTGTAGAGTTTGAAAATCACTTGAAGCTTTCTTGAAAATTTTCTCATAATTGTAAGAAGCTTTGCGAATGATAGTTATCAGTAATGTTGACATGGATGTGCAGAAAAATATTGAAAGGAATGACTTGCTCGACCATAGTAATGCTCATGATTTTAATATGAACATTCCTTTGACTCTTAGATGACACCAAATTGTTGAATGCCAGAAAATTCATAGCGATACAAAAAGGGAGTTTAGCATACACAAATCAAAAAAGAGCTGTAAGGGCCACTAGAGTTTTTACCTAAAAATTCTTGAAAGGGAAAAACCATGGTGCCTAACCAAATTCAAATGATTCTACTAGTGTATGTTATTAGTTACAAATGATGACATTTCTTATAATTGTAGATGGCATTAATACAATGCAGTAAATACTAATTATAGATGATTCATTCCATGGTGGGGTTTGTAAGTTCCTTGAGGCATTGAATTTATGTTCATGAGGTCGTTTGCTATATGTTTAGTTGTTGTCTTTTGAGGAGAGAAGATCAGAAGTCCAATATAATTATTAATGTTGATGTTGGTAGTCAAAGTTGATGTCAACTAGACACATCGACCTTATAAGAGATAACATGGATTAATGTTGGTAGCGATCAAGGGTGGAGAAGTCAGGGGTAGTTGACAAGGCTCGACGATTGTGGTCGAGAGGTCTTAATCAGGCGATGGTGCTCGAAGAACCATAATCAGGCGATGGTAGTTGAAGGGGCATGGTCAAGCAACGGTGGCCCGAGGACCGTAGTAGGGTGATGATGGTCAAACAACTAAGGTCAATAATTGGTGGTCCGACAATGGTGGTCGAATGGTGGTGGCTCAACGGTGGTATTCATATGGTGGTGATTCGACAGCGATGGTTTCATGACAGTGGTCAGGCGGTGGTGATTCAATTGTATTCATTGGACGATCGTGGTTAAACCAGTTAAACCCATATCTTATCAATCCTAGTCCACATAAGGACCATGCTTTGTTTTTTCAATTCATCTTTATTATAAATCCTAATTCTTCCAATCATGTAATCAATATTTTAAGTTTTAATCCTGAAAGAAGTGAATGAACTGGGTTTTGGTTACAGAAATCATGATAATAGAAGAATCTTTCTATAATCATACTCTTGGAAGCAGTTTCAGAATAAGCACAAGAATACGGAGGACATTGCACAAATGCACCACCATACAGCATTCATTACCAAAACTAAATGAGTCAAACTGCAACCTCGCCTAACACTTTATAAATATTACATCGTTTCACTTTCACATTCACCGTTTTGGCAGCGTTCCACATTTCAGTAAAGCACAATTCTTTATGCAAAGTTTACCATTACCAAAGACAAGACAGCAATGTATACCACATCTTCCTCAAACCCTAATCTCACCATGGAAAGAGAGCAAGGATAAGACGAAAATCAACGGTTAAACCCTTACAGAGGCTTTTGGCTGGATCAGAGCGAGGAAAGGATGGCTCCTTCAGCTTATGTCGGAATCGTCAAAATCATCCTCAAAGGAGTTGAAGAAATCGGCATCAGCCACGGGTTTGTCAAGCTCGAGAATCGAAACAGGGTCGCTGTCGTCCAGATCCATCGCAAGAGCCAGCGCCGCTCCTGGATCCTCCATGCCCTCCATCTCGATCGGTGATATTCTTCCCTTCCAGTTCCAGTAGGTTCTCTTGTATTAATAACGATTATTTGATAAAATAAAATTTGTTGCAAGTTCGATATTAAATAAGTGAAATGGCCCATAACTTCTGAAAATTAAAAAAATGTACTGCGTATTTTATAATTAAAAAAATATATATATACCAAAAAATTTAGTTCATGTTAAAATAGTTCTCTATGATTACTAATTTTTTATACACTTCATAATTAAAATTGATTCAAATAATATTCGAGTCAGATCCGAGTAGACTCCCATCAGTATTAAGTATTAACATCTTGTGCATTAAAATTTTTAATCCATATTTGAAAATTATTTGATCATTAATCAAACATGAATTATTACCCCTATCGAAAACTACTTTTTTTAACCTCTCAAGGCCGAAAATCATTCTATTCGAACAAGGTTCTATTGATCACTTTTTGATAAGAGCTTAGAGCATAATAAAAAAGTTTATATAAAATATACATAATAAAAAAATATTATTGTTGTGAAAAATGATTGTCATTTTAACATTATATTGACATGATTTGACTATGTTGTAATGTTAACTAAGCTTCCAAGGATGTTGCAATTCCTAATAATGCTAATTTTATTCATTTTCCTAAGGAGAAATGCTACTGCTTCTAAGGATATTGCAATTCCTAATAATGCTAATTTTATTCATTTTCCTAAGGAGAATGCTACTCTTTCTAAGGATGTTGCGATTCCTAATCCAACTCTTGCTATGTCTATTAATAATTCAACGATGGTTGTTTTTAATGATATGGCTGAGCCTGAGGCTGTTGCTTTTTTGGGGGGTTTGAGTGAGGATAATGGAGTCTCTGCATTGATTGTTAATGAACAACTCGGTACTAGTGGAAAGGAAATTGGGGTTTTTATTCAATCTGATTTGATTATTGTTGTGGGGGGTGACTTATCGACTAAGGCTAATAATTGTGATGTCCAAGAGGGTGCTAGGGATGTTTTGGAAACTAATTATTGTTTGATTAATGTCATAGCTAGTCCCATTTTATCGGAGGCTGAAAATGAACATGTTGCTTTTGAGAACTCTGATGGTAATTCAGTGTCTTTAGAACCTATTCATGGTTCTACTGAGGTGCATGTGGAATGTAATGAGAATGGTTTCGATTTGACCTGAGAGAGGATGTTAAGGTGTAGTTGGTTGAAGTGCCAATTGAGCTTATTTCATCTGATGAGTTGAAGGCTAAGATGTCTTCAAATTTGATTGAAACTTGTGTGGAGCAACCAGATTGGCTGAATGGGTATGGTAATTCGCCTTGTGAGGAAGCTAGAAATGGATTCGATGAGTCGTTGAATGACTTTCATGAGTTTTATGGCTTAAATGTGGGTAGTAACATTCAAAGAGAACTCTCTCGTGGTATAAGCAAATGCCGTGGTCGGAAATCTAAGGAGAAGTAATCCTTCTTCTGTTTGTTTCATTTGGTGTTTTGCTTCTCTGATTGGATGTGTCTGTCTGTGCCTTTCTCGATTGGCTGACAGCTTCTCTGTTTTGGGTTTTATGTATGTTAGCTTCTTTGGTTGTTTCAGATGGCAATCACAAATGATTGTTGGGTGTGATGCTACTTTGGCCCGTTTTGGCTTTCTTTGTTTCTCTATTGGTTATGCAGGCAATAGACGGTTCACTGCATGGCAGCTAGTGGTTTTTCTGGGACCTCTATTGTTTGGATTTTTTGGCTAGTTGTTTTTCTTTTCTTTTTCTTATTTTGGTATGTTTTGTAATTAGATTGATTATAAGGCTCTTAGGTTTTGATTCAAATGATATTTTTTAATGAGCTTTAGAGTCATCAAGGACTTGTAATTTGAATTTAAATTAATGCGTAGGACTCTTCCATGGGGTTTTATCAGAAGAAAAAAAAAATAAAAAATAAGCTTCTTATCCATGTTAGGTCATAAAAAATTTTACCTTATATTGTTAAAATAAAACGCCACACTAAATCTTAATATATGATGGAAGGCATTTAGAGAAATCAACTAAGGATTTTTTAACTATTTGAGATTACTTATCACAATCATATTGATGATATTAACTTGTGTGAAAAAAATCAAGAGAAATCTACTAAAAATTTGTGACATATAATTAATAGATGATGACACTGCCCTATATAGAAGAGATTAAAGAAGCCCATCACATATTTTTGACCTAGCAAAGCTGGTTGTCAAAGCAATATTTGATGATATTAACTTATATGAAAGATATTAAGAGAAATTCACTAAGAATTTGGATTTATTCAATATTATTTGTCAGAATGTTACCGGATAACATTAATATGTATGAAAGATGTCAAATTAAATCCCTATGAGTTAATATTTGTCGATAATTACTTGAATGCTATATCAAATGTGAAAATGAGTCCATCTTTAAATTATTGCTGCTCTTTCGAGGTCATAATTATGGAGAGATCATTACGTATAGAGTCCAGGCACAGAGAACCGTTCTTTTTTGTTATTGTGAACAGTAAAAGCATTGGTGAACAATAACTACACTTTTACTGTTCACAATCCCAAAATCAAACGGTTCTCTGTCCGGACTCCACACATAATAATCTCTCCATAATTATGACCCTACCCAATAAGTATAAAATTTCTCACATTTGCAAAATATTTTGAGAACAATAGTTGTCAACAAAATTATCTTGGATGCATGAAAAAACATTGGATTAAAGGATTAGCTCAACTATACCAAATGATTATTAAAATGAGTATAATGACCTGGCACTTAAATAAGCTCAAAATTGTGATGGTATGGTATACCAATCATTGAAAAATAAACTAAGAACAAAAGAAATTTATCATTAATGATGTAAAAAAAAAACTTATTGAATACACCAAGAACTTTTTGTTCTCCTTAAGATCCATGCCACAGATAATTCCAGCTAAGAAAAAATACATAATTGTTTGGAACACTAATGCCAAGAAGAAACTGCAACAAATTAAGATTTCGTTTGGGACAGCTTTCGTACTTCTTTATAAAACAACTTTCTAGTATAAAATTATCAAATTCAAAAAATTTATGTACTAAAAAGCTGTTTTAGAATGCAACAAAAAAGTTGTTCCAAACGAAACCTAAATATCAACAGTAAGTGAAAATTGTTGAATGAGATGCGGAGAAATTATTCTGTGCGGAGACCAGACGCAGAACGGCGTTCGGAGACCAACCAGAATGCAGCACGTCATCAGTACCAAGCAACAGTACTGAGCAAGGGGTGATGTGGCGCATTCTGGTTGATCTCTGTATGACATTCGGTGTCCGCACGGAATAATTTCTCAGATGCAAGGCTTTCCCTACCACTTTACAGCAGAATGAATAGCAACAACTCCGCCCACAAGATTCTCATATTCAACTTTCTGAAATCCAGTATCAGCTATCATTCGAGCAAAAGTATCCTGTTTAACCAAGTGGAAGTTTCATGGAGAATTGATGGACAAAAAGTTCCAAAAAAGAAATGCTCAATAAAGAAATAATGGTGGGGGTGGGGGCTTATCAAGGCTTAGTTGAAGAAAATTCAATATGGGTAGGATGGAAAAGAAGGGAGGAACGAAAATATCAAGGAGAAAAGCTGACCTGGTTAGGGAATCGACGGATACTCTCTACCAAATATTGATAAGACTCCTTGTCACCTGCTACAAGCTCTCCGATTGCTGGAATGACTTTGAACGAGTAGTAGTCATAACTGCAACGGAGATCATAAAAATTGAGATTTTTTTTTTTGCAAAAACTCGTATGCATAAATGAAAAATTAACTTTTAAAAAAAAATTATTGTCTAAAAAAGCCATTACTTAGAGAGATAAATGTAAAAAATGCAGAGTATATACACCACAGTTTACAAATAGGCATAGTCACAATCCAACTATAACTCACATTTGCTTGAAGAGGGGTTGCTCGACATGACTGAGTTCTAGGCAAAGAAACCTGCCTCCTCGCTTCAATACCCTAAAAGTTGTAAAATGCAAACAAAATTATGGAACATAGAGAGAACACATTAAAGGCTATTTAGTTGGATGTTTTTAAAATGCATGAAAGTTAGAAAATGGTCAGTTGGTGGTAGGATGCAATAGCAGGTTGTGGGCTGTGAATTTCCCTAAATTTGGAATTTACCTGATTTACACTGCACAAATACTTTGTATTTGATTAACTTCAAGTTAAACACCACAACAATAACAACAACATCAAGCCTTTATCTCACTACGTGGGATCTACTACATGAATCCTTTTTCTCCATTGTGGACTATTAAGAGTCAAATTCTTGTTTAAATCTAATAAAAAAATATCATTTTTAATATTTTCTAACTAAGTCTTTTAGGTCTACTTCTACCTTTTTTAGCATAGGCCAAATCTAATACATCTATTCTCCTAACCAGGTCATTAGAAGGACGACGTTTTATGTGTCCAAACCATCCAAGGAAACTCTCTCTAATCATATTGGCTATTGGAGCTACTCCAACCTTTTCACGCATATACTTGTTTTGCATTGCTCTAAGAGTGAAGTCACTCATCCACCTGAGCATCCTCATCTCTACAAAACTTAATTTATGACTCTTTTAATGGGCAGCATTCTGCACTATAAAGCATTGCAGGTTTGAGCACCATCTTATAAAATTTTCCATTAAGTTTGAGAGGTACTTTTCTGTCACAGAACATGCTTGATGCATTCCTCCACTTCAACCATCCAACTTGAATTTTACTAATAGTATCCCCATCATTTTGAACAACAAATCCAAGATATCTAAAACGTGTACTCTTCTTAATAATTTGATCGTCTAAAATCACAATGCCCCCACTAAATCTATTAATACTCAAATTATTCTCCATGTATTTGATTTTTTATCTACTTAAATAAGAATCTTTAGACTCTAAGGTTGACCTCCATAATTCAAGTTTTCTTTTAACTCCCTCTCTAGTCTTATCAACAAATAATATAAACCAAGGTTCTCTTGCAAATGTCTAGTAAGAACATCCATGACTAAAACAAAAAGATACAGGCTTAAAGATGATTACTAATGCAATCCAACTGAAATAGAAAAATATTTGGTCAAACCACCTTGTGTTTGAACACAAGGAACATCTCCTGCATATTTATTCTTAATGACTTGGACATAAGTATTATGAACTCTTTTCTTTTCTAAATCTCTCTAAACACTTCTCTTTGAATTTTATCTTGCTTTCTCTAAATCAATATCATATGTAGAACCTCCTTATTCTCTCCATAATTCTCCATCAAATCTCTCAGTAAGTGTACAACTTCCATATTAGACTACCCGACATAAATTGAAATTGATTTTGAGAAACATTAGCATCAAGTCATAACCTATGCTCAATAACTCTCTCCCTACTTTTAATGTATGGCACATTAACTTAATTCATCTATAATTCGTACACTCTTGTGCATCACCTTAATTCTTAAAAATAGAATCAACACGCTCAACTTCAAGTTAAAAAAAAAAACAAAGCTCATGTATTTCTTTTACTTATCACTCTTAATATTTGCAACCGAACAACCTTAAGTTTTCCTTGGAGGAATCAAATTTAATAACCAGGTTTATTTTCAACCCTACTGTTCTTGCTGTGAAGTGTTTCACGTAGGCATAAATATCTTGCCAATGGCTATGATGCTTTAAAAAGGAATCATAATTCTACAAACTATAGCATACTTCCACAAGGCCATCAATTGCTTTTAATTTGAAGGCGCCAATTGCACGGAAAAAAAAAAATATGGTTTTCAGTGTAATGCTTCTTAGGCACCATAGAACTCAAAATGTGTGTTAAGTGCTTTCAGTTATTTTGATAGTAAATACAAGAAAAATCATTATTACATGCACATATACTTTTGAATATTTGCACTAATATTACATAATTAAATTTTATATACATTGAGTTCTTATTGAATCGAATATAATCAATTGAGCTTTTATTTGATTCATGTGAAAAACGAGCTGAAAAAAAAATCTTAGTCAAACTTAGCTCATTTTACTTATCATCAAATAAGTGAAACTCAAGTTAGCTTATAAAATTATTCAAACTCAAGTTAGCTAATAAAATTATTCAAACTCAAGTAAAATATACAAGCTGAACGCAACATTTTTTTTTTTATGCCCCCAATTTTCACCCACAACTCAGGTAATGAGGATGGCATGATTCAGTTTTGTTTACGAGAATGAAAGCATGCAAACAATTAACGTACAGGCATTTGATAAAACGTACAGGCATTTGATAAATATACTATTTAAAGCCAAGTTTTGCACATTGATGCGCCAAGAGATGATCCAAATGCAATCAAGTGAAACAAAACAAATAATTCAAAAAGTGTCAATTAATAATCAGGTTTATTGTTTAAATAAATTAAAATCCATTATTTATTAAATGACTGCAACATATAAGAGGAAATAATTGTTTGACCAGAGAGTATTTTCAAATCTTTATACCTGTCCCACCAGCAACATCAAGATGCTTCATACCAGGGAAAGGATGCAGTTTCGAAACCAATCTGAAAAGTTAATTTCCAAATAAGTCATACACTTACAAGTGGCCCAATAGATCAGGTTGTACACAATATTATCTATAGATAGGAAGATCTAACCTGTCCTTCCATAATCTATGCAATCCACCACTCATCAGATCATTCATAAGATCATAGTTTGAAGCAACGCTGTTGAAGACATTACCAACCAGCTTACTTTTTTCTTCTTCTGATACCTCTTTAAATCCTGCAGGTATGGTTAGCGTTTAATGATCTTGATCTTAAATATAAGGAAAATAAAACATTCATTGAGAGGTAGATAAGTAAGCATCTCACAAGAAATTATACACACCAATAATAGAGAAATACATTATTAAGGGGAAGTTTGCTCTTAAGTATTATGGGTGTAGTTTAAAGCAAATGCCTGAATTTTAAGATTTTTTTTGTTCTGTTGGAAGTAATATAAATGCAAAGTACTGATTGAAGGAATTTGAAATACCTAAACTAGTGTACTTTTGGTGTATTACGAAATTGTCCAAACTAGGTGATTTTCAATACACAGCTCGAAAGCGACCTCGACCTTTAATTCTCTCACGTCACAGAGCAATGTCAATCCCATCACAACCTCCCCTAATGATCCCAGCATGACTTCCCACATTGTCATGAGCTCTTCGTTGCCTACCCCAGCGAGTTTTCATCAATCCCATCATGTCCACTCCCCAGCAATCTCGTCACAAGCTCCAGCACATCGTGCGCCCCTGTCAATGCCAATCCTGTATCGCGAACTCACCTCAATTTCGTGTCCTAGGTTGCAAACCATGCCCTATGTATTTTCTTTTATTTATTTTTTTTATACAATTTTTATTAGTCCCTACCAAATACAAAAAACAAATTTATTAGTCCCTACCAAACACAAAAAACAAAAAAAAAACTAAATTTCAAATACATGTATTTCTGATGCATTGCATTTAAAATTCCATTGAATTTTGAATACTTGCAACCAAAAAGCCCTCAAGTTTCTATATACTATACAAATGGCCTCATTTAGCTTTTGCTAAAGCATGGTACAAATTTAGTTCTTTAAATTTGGTCAATAAATACAGTAATTTGCTCACTAAGGAGAGAAGTCAACATCCCAAATTAGTAGGAAAACTATACACAAACGGAATAGGTTTCCATATTTTTATAGTTTTTTAATCAGATATATACAGGGTTTATTATTTTCTTTGGAGTTTGTGCAACCATAACTGTGGAAGACAATACACTAGCCTATGTTTATGCTAAAGAGCAACAGCTAATGCTCAAATCATTGCTACTCCATACCAACATTTAATAGCCTCTACAAGAACGAAGATGCATTTGATATAATAAAAAAATACCATTTCCTTGAGATACTGCTCCCAGCTAATAAGACAAAAAAAGAAATAAACTGCATGATTCTATCAAGACATAGTTTCCTAGAGCAAAGAGATAGACAATGCCCTCATTTTTATAGGCACCATAAGGACTAAAAGAAATACTATATATTTAACTGACAATATGAGAGTTTAATTTAACCATGAAGAAAAAATAAAATACCGGTGCAGATAGGAAAGTATGCTCTCTCATGCGGATACACAGACACAGCAACACAAAGATCCAAAGATGTATTTTACAGGAATGAATAACAGCAATAACTGCTTTCTGGTTGTTGTATTCCTGGCATTAGAGCTTTGCACCTTTTGACTATTGATGCCTATGAGAAAGAAGTGAGTTTACAATATAAACACGTAATAATTTAAAATGCATGTAATGGATCAGTCAAACAAATGCTGGGTTATGGAACAAAAGATTGCAAAATGAACAGAAGCGAGGAAAAAAACAGAGGAAAAGAGGAAGAGTGGGAAAAAAGAGGGAAGCAAGAAGAGTTTAGGGGGAAAAAAGAAAATCGATATTTCGTGCTTCTCCATAGTACAGTCGGTGCATATATGCATGTAGCCACCGAGATCCCCTAGGTTTGTTTTCTTTTAAAAAACAATACAAGAAGGGAACTGCAAATCTTTAAAGATTACAGAATTCCAGAGTTTGATACAAATGCTGAATGAACAGTTTTTATGCACATCATGTCGGCTGAAAGCCTGAAATCATTAAGCCATGCAGGTGGTCCTTTATCTTTGTGTGAGGTTGCTGATTTACATCGATCAATGTATCAATTATCCCCTCCTTAAGAAGGTTTTGTCCTTGTCCCCAAGGTTGAAGCAAGGAAAATATTTTATAAAATTGGACTGTGGTATCCAAGAAGATTCCTCCATGGGTGGAATGTCCCATTGTACCAGGAGCTGTGGTTCTGTGATAGGTGGCATGACTAAATAATTGCAACGAGGTTCAAGGTTGGATAGCTGTAGAAGGCTGCTGCTGGTAATTCTGGGTGTGTAAGGAATAATTTGTAATATGGCCTTAACAAAGAGATACCAGATTAATACGCGTGTTGCCAAAGAGCCAAACGATAAGTTCCATGGCCAATTTGTTCAAACAATTCGAATGGACCATAAAACTACCTGGACGGTTTAGGGCATGACTGTTGACGAACAGAAAACTATCAATATGGTTGATGCTTCAATTAACAAACAATCACCAACATTAACTCCACATCTCGGAGATGTCTATCGGCTAGTTGCTTCGTAAGGTTTTGCATGGCAACAAGATTTTTCTTGAGGTGGTGCGGAATGATGCTTCATTCAGTGAGAATGCTATCAACACTTCGATTGGAGAAGATGGCCAATAAAAAAAATAGGAGTAGGTGGCAATTGACCATATATGATTTGAAATGGAGTGAAGCAGGAGGGGGAATGGAAGGAGGTATTGTATGATAATCTGCACAATGTCAGAACTGCAGCCAAGTGGAGGTGCATCCATTATATATCAGCAAAGGTACTTTTCGAGCCCTTGATTCGTTGTCTTAGGTTGCCCATCAATTTGTGGATGATGGATTGTCCTAAAGCATAACTTTGTACCATTTAACTGAAATAATCCGGGAGAGAAACTACTTGTAAAAAATTGATCTGTATTAAATATAATACAACTACGAATGCCATGAAGTTTATAAATGTCAGTAACTGTTGCAATGTCAGAAGTAATAAAACTAGCCATTGAAGTTTAAAAAAAAGTACTTAGACAAGCAATCTGCAACCACCATAATGGTTGTTTTAATGCTTAATACAAGAAACCTGGTTATAAAGTCCATGGACACATCCTCCAAAATGCTCGATAGGGAGAGGAGGGGCAGCAAAGTCTGGCTGGTGAAAGTTGTTGATAAATAGTCATTTTACAGGTTGGACAATTTTTGACAAATTCCAGGACGTTTGGTCAGTTGTGATAGCCAAGAATAAACTGAGTAAAGACAGCTGAGTGTTTTCTTGACCTCTCTATTTTTGCTGATTATACTGGAATGAAATTCATGCAAAATGGAAGAGATTAGCTGCTTGTTAGAAGGAACTATCTTTCCTTCGTAAAAAATTAATTCCATCTTCAGAACTATTTAGAAAACTTATCTCAATGAAGTTGAATACTAGCAACTAGGTTAATTCTTTGTTTGTATTCAGTTGTCAAGGAAATAAATTTAGAGAATTTGACTCTTAACAGGACACAATGGAGAAAATCGATTCATGTAGCCAACCTCAAATAGTGGAATAAAGGCTTGATATTGTTGTTGTTCAGTAATTAATAGTCCTCATGCATGTGAGATAAGGTATCAAATACCTTACTAAAAATATTTGGATATATACAATTATATGGTCAAATCCAAGTAATTTTACTAGATAACACTGCCGCTTGGGAGTTTGAATGGTCTCATTCATATTTTCATGGATGGTTGTGATGTGTCTTGGTATCAAAAACAGCAACAAACTCCTAGAGATTCAACACAAAAATAGATTTTTATTGATAGCAAATCAAATACGAACAAAGTAAAATACAATGGTCCGCTTTTGAGAGGAGGACCTTCTCTCCCAAATCCTAGACGCCACTAGGATCCCTCACAAAAGGAAAATTATAGTACTCTGAAATCAAATTTTGCATACAAACAAAAAATAAATCCTACTACTTATAAAAATTCCAAAACAGCCCTCCCCCAATTCCCTCTCAAATCAGCCCACAAATCAGCCATATTCAATTAGAAAATATCTCCGAATTAATCTCCTCCAATTCAGCCCCCAAATCTATCCTTTTTAAATTAGAAAATATCTTTAAGTTAATCCCCTTCAAATAAACCCCCAAATCAACCTGCTTTCCTTATTAATTTCCCTCTCCTAATTGAATTTAAATATGAGATCTTTACCTCCTTAATTATCTCCTTAATTCCCTCCTTAATTATCTTCATAAGATAATGAATTATTGCATTGTTGGCCCCACAAGAGGGGTTGAAATCTCCCTGGATTTGGTTTCAGGTTCAACCCCCTCCATTGTTGGTCTAGCCTCCCTTGGCCTGCAACCGTAACAGGTTGTCGAGGTGTTTTGATTGAAACTTAATACCCAAAAGATATTCACACTATTTAGAGATTGATCATTGATTTTGAAAAGCTTGAGAAAATATGCAAAGGCTAGCTACATTTATGAGTGTATTTTTTTTTTTGTTGAAAAAAGCAATAGGTTACTTTCATTGTGTTAGAATCACCCCAATTATAGCACCCAAAACATTAATTTCAACAATAAAATGTTTGCTAAAATCTGGTAGAACTAGCCATGGAGGGTTTCATAAAGATGATTTCAAGGTAGTGAAGGACTTATTTAACTTGATCGCCCGATAGAAATGAGCACTTTGCAGCAATGAAGTGAGAAGAATAGCAACAATTGCAAAAATGGTGACCAAATGACTATAGTAACTTGCGAGACCCAAGTAGCCACGTAGCTGTTTTGTTATTTTTGTTGTGGCCACTATAGTATGGCATCAATTTTGTACGCCGAGTGAGCAACTACTACCAACTATATGTTAAAGATATTCAAAGGTGCTTCTTCTAAAAATACATTTAGATCGTTTTATAAAATAAAAATTTTTGTTTGAATAGTTGAGAAGAAGAGTCGAATGTCTCATATGTAGTCTATAAATTAATACAACAACAATAACATTAAGCCTTTATCTCAATGCGTAGGGTCAGCCATATGAATCAGTTTCTCCATTGTGTCCTATTAAAATCAAATTCTCATTTGAGTCTAGTAATAAAATGACTTTTTGAATACTTTCTAACCAAGTCTTTACAGGTCTATCTCTACCTTTTTTAACATAGACCGGATCTAACACATCTATTCTCCTAACAGGGTCATCAAAATGTTGATGTTTTATGTGGCCAAAGTAGCAAACCATCTAAGAAGACTCTCTCTAATCTTATTTTCCACTAGAGTTATTCCAACCTTTTCACGTATATACTTGTTTTGTATCCTGCCTTTAAGAGTAAAGCCACTCATCCACTTGAGTATCCTCATCTTTGCAACACTTTATTAATATATCATAAAAAAAATTGACAAACTAACAAAGATAAAGCTTTAAGATTATAATTCATAATATTATGAATAATGACAAGGGGCTTGAAAGGTCGAATGGCATAATGAGAACTCATATTGTCCTTCGTGAGTTCTAAATGCTGGTTTGCAAATGTCATTGTCAGCCATATGAATCAAGTGGTAGCCCAAGCGTAAGCCTAGTTTTGAAAAAGAATTAGCACCATGGAGTTCATCCAGTAATTCATCATTCATCAACTAATGGAATTAGATATTAACTAGGAATAGTAATTTGATTGAGAACACGATAATCAAAACAAAATTACCAAATGTCACATTTCTTTCTAACTAAGATAATTGGTGATGAAAAAGGGCTAATTCTTGGATAAATTACCTTGGAGGCTAGAATGATGGCAACTATTTTTTCAATTTGAGTTTTTCGGTGATGGGGGTAGCGATATGATTTAATATTAATTGGCTGGGAACCTTCAGCTCCTTTATGTAGAATTTGAATATCATTCTGAATCTACAAAAACTCAAATTATTCCACCGCCCTTACAAGTGTCCTCTTATGGTTTGTGTATATTTCATGACAGTGTATTTAGACTTATTTAATACATCACCTAGCAATTCAATTTATTGTTTACCTAACACAATTTCAGCTCCATTGGCAATATGAATAGAACCATTTGAGAGTGATGGACTTAGAAACTTAAGGCAACATTAGAGCACTTTCCGTGCAAGTTAAGCTTCCGTCGTATCAACCATAACTTGAAAAATGTGCGATTTGTGTAATTGGTAATCCTATGTAATGGACAAGGCTTTCAATTATGAAATAATGGGTGGATCCAGTGTTGGCAAGAACTTGGACATTTGCATTGGGTGGAGAACCTTTGAGGCAAATGTCAGAGGGCAAAGGTTAGCCCACTAAGGCATGATAGCTGATCGCAACTGCTCCTTACATTCCTCCACTATTAAAGGTGGGTATACCAAGATATGATATGTTGGTCGGAGTAGAAATTTGCCTCCTTAATAGCCAGGTATTACAATAATGACCATTTTAGTCTTAAAAATGGTTGTGATGGTACCGTTCATCACAACTTTAACACAATCCTTGCCTGCGCTTTTTATTCACTCCCAGGATTGTAAGTTTCTAGATTGGAAATGATGGTTTTCCAGAAGGAATTTTGGTCAATTTTGGTTTGGGCTTGGTGTCGGTAGTGATGTAATGTCCTTGAGAAGGTGTGATGGATAATGATTTAGGTAAAAGGTGGAAGATCATTCCTGAATTTTATCTTCAACAAAAATTGCTAAGCCCATTGCTTGATTGAGGGTGGATAGTTGATGGAAGCAGGAAGCTTTACTTCTTCTTGAATTTTTTATTTGAACCAAACACAAAATATCTTTCCAAGAAAGCATTATTTACATCAGGTATATGATTGGCCAATTGCTCAAATCAATGTTGGTAATCTTGAACGAAATAATGTTGTAATAATTTAGTGAGCTCTCCTTTGAAGCCCATGTATTGCGACAATCCAAATTATGAATAGAGAACCTTCAAGAACTCTAGAAAGGTAGAGAGGCGGTTAACTTTTTTTTATTCAAAGAAGCCATTCTTCTACCGAGCTAAACATATGGAAGCAAATAAAAGATAACTTATTCGCATTAGAAAACTTATCAAACCTGTAGAATTGCTCAATTTTTTTAATCCAATTTTGTTGATTGCTCCCAAAAAAAATTGAGAATCTCCTATTTGGTAGACAAAGGAGGGTTTGGACCGAAAAAAACCCGAAATGAAAGAGGCTGCTAAGGAGTACATGATGGTATTGGATATTACCATGTTGAGATTGATCTTATTTTTCCCCCAATTTAATCAAATTGACGTTAATTTCTTAAAAAATGTCACCAAAAAGTTTGAGGATGTCATTGTGATGGGCCAACCAAAAGAAACAATCATCAAGGTTGGTGTGGATACAAAGGTAAGCATCAACGAAGAGCATTGATTGATCAGTCAATCAAACCAATGCTAGGACAAAACAAAAGATTGAGAAAAGAACAAGAGCTAGGAAACAAAAAGAGGGAGAGGATAAAAGTGAAGAAAATGGGGAAGCAAGAAGACTATAGGGGAAAAAAAGAGAAAACTGATATTAAGTGCTTCTCCTTAGTACAATGGGTGTATATATACAAGTAGCCACTGAGATCCATGTGGAGCATTTTCTTTTACAAAACAATACAAACAGGAAAATGCAGCTCTTTAAAGATAATTCAGTGTCTGCCACAAATGCTGAATGATTTTATGTAGATCATGACCACTGAAATCCTTAGGTAACGCCAACAGTCCTTTATTTTCATATCATGGACGTACAGGTTGTAGTATTACATCGGTTGATGTATCAACATGATTGCACATGAATGAAATAGCTAGGACAACAAAAAATTTAATAATTCATAACAATTCTACAGCCATTTTTGTTCCAGTATAGACATAACAACATTTACTACAACATGTTTGGATATGCCCTTCTTTATAGGTTATCTTAGAGTCTAGGATTTCACTAATTCAAAACTACGATGGGTGCACAAAAACCAGAATATTAGTCTGCAAGAATAAAGTGGCTCCTCCACAATCAGACGCCTACACTTTCTGCACAAACAAACAACATAAAAGAAGAACTTTCGCTTTCCTAAGAAGTAACAAATCTGTTTATTCCAAAGTTACTTCTCAAATTTTCAATTCTAGAAATCAAAGTTCCATGTCTCACTCCTTGCAACCAAACAGACCCTCAAATTATGATAAGCACGCATCTTTTTTGATGATATTAACTTATGCCAAGCATTCTTCTGTATAATAGGCAAGTAATATTTACTTAACATTTCTTTCCAGTGATTCTACGTCAACATTGATTTTCATAAATACAATTCATATTTTGCTGCAGCTGTTATCAATATAATAAAACCAATAATAAAAAATACCAACTCATAATTGCAATTGCTGAAGCACCAGCACTATCCCCGAAACTACAATTGGAACAAATGCCCTATTCTCTGCGCAGTAATCCAAAATAGAAGCCAGAACTTTCTACGAAATAGAGAGAAGAGACATTAATGGAAAAAGAGATGAATCACCGAAACTGGTGGCGTGAGAATGGAGAAGGGAAGCGCTCCGAGCATAATGATGCCGAAGATTGCTTGCGAGTCGAGCAGCACCATACTTCAATGCCATGTCAGCTTCGCTGCTGATCGGGTAGATTCGTCTCCTACAAGAGTTTCCCTGCCGCTGACGAGCGACCGCAATGGTTGCCGACTAGGGTTTGCTACCATTACCCATCTTGGAAGTGTGGGAGCGACCCGACCGTGGCTCTTCGAGCTTAGACCTGTCAATCCGACCCAAAAATCCGATCCGAAACCGACCCGAAATTCTCGGGTTCGGGTCGACCCGGTTTAATAACGGGTCGGATTAGGATCTGGAATTTCAACCCATTTAGTTATTCGGGTTGGTCCGGATTAACCCGGAAACCCGATAGTAACCCGAATTGACCCGCGACTTTAATAATTTAATAAATAAAAATTATAACTTAGGGCGTCAGTCGAGCGACGAGCGGGGTCGTATTAATCTCGTAACTCTCGTGACCTCGTCTCTACTCTCTCGTTCCGTCTCCTGTCTTCTGTTTAGGGTTTCTGATTCTCTCAGTCTCCGCCTCTCAGTCTCGTCGGCACGACGGCGTCTACGCTTACGCTTCACACATTCCCTAATCTATTTCACTGTTTGTATCTCGTTTCTCATTTCTATTAGTATTTTTTGATAGTTTAGAAGATAAAGCCATGAAGGTTTTGATATTTTGTGTTCTTCATCTTATCATATATTGATTTATTCTCTAAGACTCTATTTCTTTGCGATGGTGTTGAGATTTTTGGAAGTTGAAGTTATCCCGTATTCCCGTGAAATCTATTTCTCTGCTAGGGTTTATTTCGGCTAGGGTTATAAAAAATTGTGCAAATATTGTTGGCAAATGGCAACAGTGTTTAAGTTTAAGTGATTAACTGATTAAGCAACATATTGATTTTTCTCTACTCTCTAGTCTCTAGTTTAGCCCGTTTTGAACTTTGAACTTTTGCATATGCCAGAAGCTTTTAGTCATTGAGGCAGTTAAATCTTGTATCTTTTTTTTTTTTTCCATTTTTTGTTTTGGTTATTAACTTATCATTTACTGATTTTTTGCATTTTTTGTGATGCAGTTAGGGCATCATGATCATGTAGTTAACTGTTTGTTAAGTGTTAAGTAGTTTTTTTTCATTTTTTGTGATGTCTTCTTATATTTCTGATAGATGGAGGGCTCTAATACCATTGCTGATAATGTTTGTATTGATGAAATTGAAGAAGTTGGGCCATTTGAAAATGTGGTAGAGTTAGAGCCATGTAATGAAGGAGGTGAAGTTGCTAGGAAGCGGGGAAGAATGACATCGGTTGTTTGGGGTTACTTTGAGATGTTGCCTAAGCCAAAAGATGGTAAGCAAAGGTGTAAATGCAAGAAATGTGGTGTGACATATTTCTGTGATAGAAAAAATGGCACTGCAAATTTAAGACGACACTTGAAAAATTGTAAAAAAAGAAATATGCGTGATATTGGGCAACTCATTTTACAAACAAACTCTGAATCCTCCATTTCTATGACTGGTAGTAAGTTTGATCAGTCAGAATTCCGTGACCTGTTTATTGCATGTATCATTATGCATGACTTGTCATTTCAGTGTGTTGAGTGGGTTGGAGTTCGAGCTCTTCTAACGCATCTTCGTCGGGACTTACAGTTGTTTTCAAGAAACACCGCACGAAGTGATTGTATGAAATTATTTAGTAAAGAGAAGAGTAATATACGTTCACAATTAGCAAAAATGACAAGTAGGTTGTGCTTAACTTCAGACCTTTGGACTTCTATTAATACATATGGTTTTATTTGTTTGATAATGCATTTTATTTGTTTGACTTACTGCTTCTTGTATATTCTATTATTCTGTGAAAGCTATTGTTAGCTTTTCGGGTGTTATGTTGCTGAATGTTGGCTGCTGCTTAGAGTGCTTTCGGTTTTTGGAAGTTGAAAATTGAAATGCAAGGAAGCTAGGCCCAGAAGGAAGTGAAATGAGAAATTTATAACAGTATATCTGTATATGCGATGAAGCGATGATGAATAACCTTCTAAGATGAAAGTGGGACTCATATAAGTGTAAGTTCTTATGTACTATTACAATTTACAACCAAGTGACAATTTTTATTAACTTAGAATAACAAATACTATCTTACAATCTTATTCTAAGAACAGACATTAAGTTAATATAAATTGTCACCTAGGATGATAATTTGTTAATAGGACAATATTGATTAAACTTACATCGTACATTACAATGACCTCATTATGAGGTTAAATGATTAATAAATCTGAAGGTTTAATCTGAGCAGAGCAATATATTTTTTTTACATATTTGAGTTTGCAAACTATATAATTGATTTTATTCCAGGTCATTGCAGATTTGAAGGTGTTATTTCGAGGAGATTTCGAGGAGATGAGGTGCATTTCGAGGAGCATTTTGAGGAGCATTTGAGCATAAATGTATAATTGTATAAATAATTATTCTTAATTGAGAATCTGAGATTGAGGTTGTAAATTTCAATGTTGAAATTTTGTAAATTAGTATTTCTCTAAAATTGAATTTAGTTTGTAATTTTGTAACTAAAATAAATGTGTAAATGATGGGTTTATAATTTCTAAATTAGTATTTCAATTTCTCTATAAAGACTATAATTGATGTTTTGCAGTTTGTTGTTTGCACTTTAGGCTTTAGTTTTTTTTTTTTTTTAACCTTAAATTATAATTAAAATTACTGTATATACGGTTAACCGGGTCGGGTCAGTTTGACCCGAAACTGAGACGGGACGGTTTCGGGTTTCGAAAACCGACCCGTTTATAAAACCGGGTTGGGTTGACCCGACCCTAATAAAGCTGGGTCAGTTACGGGTCGGACCCGAACCCGACCCGTAACCCGAAATTGACAGGTCTATTCGAGCTGCGACCAAAAACCAAATTTCACAAATTAATAATAGGCTTCGCAATAAGTAATAATAGTTTAGGATTTGTGAAAATATTTGTGTCACAACGGCTAGTAGAAATAGCTATATTAAAATTTTGTCATAGTTGATTTCGTGTAGGAAATTGTCACATTGGGACACTTTTTTTTTTTTTTGGGGGGGGGGGGGGAATATTAATAAAAAAGATTAAAAATAATGTAATAAAACTAAAGCCTGAAAAAAAAAAAAGAGGGGGGGAGAATTTGGACAAAGTCCGAATATTAATAAAAAAGATTAAAAATAATGTAATAAAACTAAAGCCTGAAAAAAAAAAAAGATGGCTCAGATAGAGCCCAAAAGAACAAAAACAGATTCCTGAAAAATAGACAATAAAGAGTACATGAGGTATTCCAAAACATTAAGGCACCCAGAATTCATCACAAACTTGCACAACTATCTTTGCCTGGACTCAGAAATTCGAATAAGATCAGCAGTTGTATCGAGTTCACCTGGTTGCCCAAGGGCCATCCTAGGAGGCCTGCAATTGGGTACATCATTGTCCAAGGCAACACCCGCAAGTAAAGCAAACCGAAAATCCATCGTAGGGGCCTCGAAGATCAAAGAAGAAGACATAATTATAGCATATCCAGCAGAGTAGTAGAGTTCTTCCATTTGTTAACTTTCTCAAAAACCGCTCTTTTAATGATAATTGCAGTAACAGTGATACTATGAGAAGAAGTCCCAAATCTTCTTTCATTTCGTTCTTTCCAGATATAATAAATGGAACAACAAGTAATAAGAAGGAATAAATTTTTAACTGGCAACTGAGAACTATATGTGGCATCAATCCATTCTAACAGTTGAAACACAGAAGGCCTAAGCAATAAACATGGGCTGCTGGCATAATGTAGGTAATAATAGAGAATGAATAAGAGCACTTACTATTTAAATTTCTTTTGGAACAGCTTTCTTACTATTTCTTAAAGCAGCTTTTTAATATAAAATTTTTAATTTTTATACTAAAAAGTCATTTTAAGAATCAATAAAAAAATAATCTCAAACTAAACCTTAATTCTAGTTTAAAAGAGCCAATCCATTTCTTTACCAGCCAAGCCCAATCAAGCCTATTGGTGGAGCCAGTTAGCTGTTAATAGAATATGTGTTGGACTAGTTAACTAAAAAAATTATTTAAAACCCAATAATTTATATAGGGTTTTATCGTCTAAGACGTATATCATAAATCCATATTAGATTTATAAGATAACTGATAAGTGATCGAATCTAATAACAAAATGTGTAGATTCATGATATTTGAATTGATTATATGTGTATACAACCCAAGAGTGAGACTATTTAGGAATATCCAACAATAATAAAATAAAAATAATAATGAATTGAGAAAATTTTGATAAATCGTGAATAGTTTAAAGTTCAAAAAATTTACAATCACGATATTTTGGAATGAAACATAAATCTCAAAATAGGTAAAATAAGGGGAAAATAGATCTCAAATATAATTTTAGACTATAAAAAAATATTGTATTTAATCTTCTTCTTTTTTTCTTTGTTGTTCCTTTTCAATTAAAGGGGTAAGTGTACAATGTAATTGTCAATATTATTGTCATACAATTCATTAAAGAGAGATTTTTTATGTGCATTTGGTGTTAACGTGAATATTTCTAGGGCTTTGATAGGACTAATTACATTTTTGCGATAAAAAACATTGGGATTTTGATGTGTTCATTTCATATAACTTTTCTAACACTACATCTAGCACTTCACTAAATAATTTAAGCATTAGATCTTAGTTATCGAAATAAGGTATGAAGGGAATATACACTGCATGGTAGAGACATACTATTAGAGTTTTCATTCATGTTGAACAATTATAACCTTGGTTTATATCATTATAGACTTCTCATAGCAATTAGCCTTAGAACCTGGTAAATTTTGGCATGTAGGACTCGAGAGAGTAAATGGTAAAAAGAAGAAGATCAATAGAAAAAACATGTATAACTATCATACTTGAGAGAGATGATTTTTGGTGAGACATATTTAGGAAGCTATATTCAAATAACCCATCGAGAGTTGTCTCAATCCGATCTATATTATACGATATAATTGAGGAAAATCAGGGGCGGATCCAACTTCTTTTTTCAGGGTGGGGGAATTTTTTTTTTTTTTTTTTTAAATTCATTAAAAACAAAAGAACTATTATCACAAACCAAAATCACCACGGAAAAAATTATATCATTATAGACTTCTTATAGTGATTAGCCTTAGAACCTGGTAGAT